AACTCTCGACTATGCGCTTGCCAGGCAGATGTTGTGCCACTGAGCTAAATCCCCAGCCCATATCTTCCTTGTTGAAGCAAGAAATAATGATTTCCTTTTCTAAGTTAAAGAAATAGTCAAGTCCACGGCAACGCCATAGTACAGCATCTTCCCCAAATTAAAATATCTTCACTTTCCCGTCTCAGGCTCTGGGGCATGGAGGGGTAACAGGCAGACTACTGCGGTTTTCTTCCCCGCACTGACACACCCAGTACCACGACGGAAAGAAGAGGGTGGAAGGGCAGGAAGTCCTGCCTGGAAGAGCAGGAAGCTGGTGTCAGGGAGGTTTAACAAGAGCTGCATGATAGTCGGCTCTCGGAGGATGCTGTTGTGGGTTCCTCGGGACCAGAACCCCGGCCCTCTCCGGGGGGTTTACCTCTTGAGTTTAGTCCTTGAGGGCTTTGTAAGGCCCAGCAGTGCTGTGGGTGGATGTTGCTGTTGCCCCCAGCAGCTCCTGGAGATCTTCTGGCTTTGCTTCAGTACTGGGACCATCTCACCTGTCCACAAGGTTGGTTGGAGAGTTCCTTTTGAAGAGGACACAGAACCTTCCCCTGCCAGGAGGCCTACTCATGGTTCCCAGGGAACCAGACACCTCCAGCCCACCTCTGCTCCTAGGAAGCACAGGCCTTTCCCAGAAGTTCAGTCCTGAGGACGACGGCCAGTGGGCCTGGGGATCAGATAAAGAGTGGCACAGTGGCAGTTCTCTTCACCTCTTCTCCCCAACTTCCTCTCCTGTAGGTTTAGCCAGCTCACGGAGCGTGATCCATTTTGCTGACATGGAGGACGCAGTAGGGGGTACTCCCCGCCCCTTGACAAGTGGCTGCCCACATGCCTGCTGTAGACAGTGTAGAGTTGTAGAGCCCAGGGTGTGGCAGCTGTGAAAGGCCAGGCACATCCACTGTCACGCTGGAGATGGGGCGGCAAACAGGCTCCAGGCAGCGGGGTAGAGGCATTGGGGTGCCAAGCTGTGCGCTGGACTTCATGCCAGCACTTCCAGACCTGCTCTCCTTGCAAACCACACGGCTGGTCTGGTTTCTCACCACAAAGGGTCTGACCCCCTGTCCTTCCTGCCTGAGCTCACATATCTCAGGGAGTCTGTGCATAACGTGTGCCCTCCCCGTGACTGTCTCTGGTGGCCGCCTCCCACACAGTCACTGTGGGAAGGTGAATCCAGAAACCCTGCAGGGTAGTTGTTCTGTGGTTCTGTGGCTTCTGATTCCTGGAGTAGCTCAGTCTTAAACAATTAACCCCTTCCCCAATGGCTCCTGATTAGACCCTCTCAGAGATGATGGGTGCTACCCTGGATTTCTTTCTTCTCCAAGTCCTGGATTTCTTTCTTCTGCCACATGGAAGAACTCATTTTCACACTGCATTTGAGCTTTGTAATAATCATAGGTTTTCTTGGGGCTGCTGCTCCTAGCTGAGCCATGGATTCTCCCTGGAGCTGACCATCGTCCCCGGGCTTTGCTTGTAATTTTGAGACAGGTTCCCTCCCTGGGCGTTGAGCTTTCTGTTCTAGCTGGCTCCTTCTTCTCTCTATCCTGTCTTAATTTTCTCTTTGCTTTCTTTGTTTCCTCTCAGCTCTTCCTTAATTCCTGAAGCTTTGCTTCTTTTGCTCTTCACTGAATTGTTTTCAAGGTGCCACAAGTCCTGGTTGAAGAGAGTTCAGACGTCTAAGTTTACCCTTGATTTGAGGACCTCTGCTAAAACTCCAAGACAATATTTATTATCCAATTGAAACTTAGATCAGATGATAACTGCTAGGTACCTAGTTTTGTGCCTAATTATAATAAATGCTTAAAATAGAGCTCTTTCTGTCATTGTGACATTGACTAAGTTGTTTGACGTGGCAATCACTGAATATTGCTAGATGCAAAATAGTTTATGCTGTGATTACAGATACTTCATCATACATACTTTAAAAGCCCTTCATAGCTCTTTAAGTTACTATGAGATTCCCCATAACTAAGCAAATGTACTTAAAAAGAGGTTGGTTTGATATCCTGCAGTAATGAATCAAAGCATACAAACCTTAATTTTTTTCTTTGTAGGAAAAATGTTAGAAGTAATTGCATAAATTAATTTACTAAAAACTGTATCAAAATTTAAACAGTATTGACATGTAAGATGGATCAAACACTTAAACATTAACTGTTCCTTTCAACAGAGCAATAAAAGTCAGTAGTACAACTATGTTTATCTGAGTGTTCAAATTGAAGATATCAAAATGTAATGCAACAACCATTGTTAATTTCCTATCACCTTGTGTGACATTCTGCATTGCTTGTATTATTTTTGTGTCATTTTCTAAATGTATGTGTGTTTGTTAATGTTTTCATTCTTTTATCTTTAAAATAATAAAAAAGTTAAACAGTATTTATATCTCCTGTCTATAATGAATGCTCTCAAATTGTAGGGAAAATGAGGGTCCAATGACTTGAAAACTTCTTCAATCCTGTATTGAGCCAGGTGAGAACAAGGACGTTGGATCCTCGATGATCTGTATGATTTTAACTTTAAATCCATCCTTGTGTATAGAAATAACATTTGTCTTAGAGTGTTGATGATGGCAACATAATTTTTCTTGTATTTGGAGAAGGATTTCAGAGCGCTGTATTTAATGAAAGATTCTTTTGATGCAGAGAACAATGTGCCTAATGAAACCTCCTTGGAATGGAACACCCTTAGAATTTACAAAGGTAAAGGCTTGTGAGTATTGTATCTATCCACTGAGAAACAATAAGCATGGAAAGCATGAATTTATATTATTACATTGTTGCATGTCCTTGTTATCAACAATGCTACATCACCCTCTTACACCCTACACCTGTATGTCACTTTTTCTGATTTTTAATTTAATTTGATTTTATTGTGGATAACATCTTACGACATGACCACACTTTCTAAACAGACTGCAACAAGATTCAGCCAAACCAGTGAGATGGTCATTCTTTGATTAACTGTTGTATGGCTTGTGTGTTCTAATACCAGAACCTGTCAGCTCTGGGGATGCCCTGGTTTATAGGCAAGACCCACTGTCCTGGATGCTGGTGTTGGGATTCTGTGCTCTTTAACATATCTCTGTGTGCCTAAGTTGAAGGAGAGAGAACTATATAAATACTGGTGGGTTTTCCCAAAGAAATATGGCCTCAACAGATCTTCCAAAATGTGCACTTTATTACCAAAGACATCTTAATTTTTTTAAACCAGGAATTGAACTCAAGACCTTGTGCTTGCCAGGCAGGCACTTGTGCCACTGACTTATATTCTCGGCCCCACAATGAAATATCTTGGAGAAGGTTGTACTTTTGCATTACAGGGGTAGGGATATAGATCTTTCCTGTTATTTGAAATAAAATTAAGAATTAACAGCGAGATTAACCACTTTTCTTTAGTTGTGGTTTGTTTTTCTTTGCTTCATAAGGAAGAAAAAGAACAAGAAGGGCCTGAGGAAAGACTATTTTTTTTGATCCATTCTTGCTTTGAAAATTGACTCAGATCATAGCCAATAAATATAAATAATGATGTTAGGAAAATATGTGAATATGGTGACTACATTTTCTTATGTTGAAAGGTATAGGACAAGCACAATAGAGAGATTTGATCATAGATCATAACATTTCCACACACCAAAAATTAGAAATTTCACTTTGAAAATGTGAAAAAAGACAAAACACATACTTACTATTTTTATTACATATTTTGCATAGAAATCACTAGACAGATGAGTTATGATTCTGAACAGAATTTCCAGAGAACGTGACCTCTATCTGTTTAGCTAGAGATTAGAAAGTGTGGTAAGTAAAGTGGGATTTGTTGTAAAAGGTAAAAGAAATCCCAGAATAGTTATCCAGAGACTCTAAAATGTTCCTATAGCTTGATGTTCCTTAGTTCCTAGCTAATAATTTTAGTTCCTAGCTAATAATTTTATTTCAGATAAAATGATTTATCTTAAGATAATTTACCTTGAAATAATCCTAGTGGAGGGTGAGGGGGCCCCTTTCCATTTAGGAATGTTCTCTTACTGCTGCCTGGCCATCTGTCCACAAATACCTGGCGTAGGTCCCTGTCTTTCAGCTTCCTTGTTTATCCAGAGCGAGGGCTTTGGGTCGGATGTTCAGGTGGTTGACTTGGGCCAAATGAAGCGTCACAGCAAATGAGAAAGCAGGGCAGTGAGTGCTAGGACTAGACTCTGGGGGGCCGTGGGGCACAGCTGAGACCTGCTCTGTGTGTTCCTTTCTGGACCCGTCTGACCCATGGTCAACAGCTCCATTTTACTCCCCAGGTTTCTTGGCACACCTGCAATTTGCATGCTGATTAAGAAGCTCATTCTCTACCAGGCTGGAGATCAAAACTAGAGTCTTACACACACTGGGCATGCATTTTACCGCTGAGCCACACCTCCAGTGAAAACCTCTCTTTGTTCACCACTCTTCCTCTAGTAGTTGCTCAGCAGCACTTGTTACATGGGTGTGCTTCTGTGAACCGGTGAGTATCATAATTACCACATTCATTCTCCTCTCAGCGGGAAATGTTTACTTTGGCCTTGCATGGTTTCACAGCTGACTGACATTCATAGCAGCATTATTCAACACATTTTAAGGAAAGAAACATCACACCTGTCCATTAAGGGATAATGGATAAACAAAACACTATTTATATAAGCAAGGGGATATTACTCAGCTTTCAAAAGAAATGACATTCTGACATGTGTACAGATGGATGAATCTTAAAGTCACCATGCGAAGTGAAAGAAGCCAGACACAGAAGGACCAGTGTTGTCTAAGGCCACTTGTAAGAAGTATTTAGGATATTTAGATTCATGGAGACAGAGAACAGAATAATAGTAAAGAGGGGCCAAGTGTTGGGGAAAATATGGTGCAATTGCTAATGTATATAGCATTTCAGTTGGGAGGACAAAGATGTCTGGTGCTCGGGTTACGATGACATGTCAATATATTGAGTTAATGACACTGAAATAACACTGAATTAACCCTTAAAATACTCATCAGACAGATGTGTTTCTCTATACACATACAAAAAACTAACAAGATTTGCATAAAATATGGGGAAACCATCTGCATCAAAGAAATAAGTATCCAATGCAGCAAAATGCATGTTAGTTCAAAAGTAATGTTTTTATGCTTTTCTCTCAAAATACAAAAGCTATGTCCTAAGTGACTCTGGCTGGACACAGAATGGTCGATTACTGAGAACAATCATTGTTCTCTGGCAAACATCTAAGGCAAGTGGATTGTAGCATTGCATTCTTTACCAAAAGTGTTCTTCAGCTATTATTACTCTTTACCAAGTTTGTGTAAAATCACAACTATATTACATATTTCATTGTTCAGTGAGAAAATAAAAATAAGCCATTACATACATATTTTAAAATCTCTACACAGATAGGAAGACCAAAACGAAAGCAAAGACAAACAACAAAAATAAATCAAAGGTAGAAATACATCACACCACTTAGAATGTTCTACTTGTCTGAGACAAATGCATGTGACATTTAAAAATATTGTATGTGCTCAAACTTTCTAAAATGGTTATGCTCTTTAAAATGTTTACTGGAAATTACCATAGAAATCCCCTCACAATCTCCACCTAGTTTTCTCATGTCCTTTTAAGTCACAAAAATCTCTTTTTATTTATTTTGAGGTTGGGATTTAAGAAGACACATGTTTAACCTGTTTAGTTTTCAACATCAGTCAGCAATGCTATTGATTTAAGGTTATCTAACAAATGTCTACATAGAAATATTTAATCTACAGTGCTCTGGTGTAAAGGGTGCATGGGCTACTGCTTCTCCCATGCTGTCCTGCCCAGTTGTAAAACTGCAGCTCCTGTGCTATGGATTTTGCCATGGTGAGGGGTTTCCAAAGGCCCTAGGTGGTTCTGGGTCTACGGACCCTGCTGGAAAAGATGCAGGAAGGAAGTCTTGGGATGTGGGTAGCTGAGAGGGGGAGAAATTGCATTTATAATTGCTTCACAACATTATTTTAGGAAATTGGTATCTTACTAATTCTTTGGCAAACATATAGTCCTGAGATCTCTGAGAAGCATAAGAATCATTGTTAATATCAACTCTGGTCTAGATAAAGCCAAGAAAAGGTAACCCTGGAAAGAATCATCTTAAACTAAGATTTGACAAACTAACTTTTGTCAAAGTCTTCAGAAAGCATTTTGCCCCCCAGGAGGGCTTCATGTTGCATTTCTACAATACAATAGTAACTCCTTGCGAGCCGTGAATGGCAGTTGTTCAGCAGTTAGCATAATATACAACCTTGGGGGTATTTAGTACGACTATTAATAACAGCAGCTGGAAGCGTGAAGCTTATCTAATGTATGATTGATTAAAATTTATGACAAAACAATGGCCACAAGAAATAAGAACTAGGTTTGATAGAGGCTCAGAGGAAGGATGGAATTAAAGAAGAAAGGGAAGGAGGGAGGGAAAGAAGGAAGGAAGCAGGAAGATGCTTGGTTGAGAGGTTCACCTGAATTCGAGCACTCAGGAACCTCACAGAAGCTTCCTGCCTGGAGAGTGGCGATGAAGCAGCAGTGGTGAGGAGGATGCTGGAGGAAGTAACGTCAGCCAGTGGTTACCATGACGACAGAGGGGTCTGGCTTAGCTGGATACAGGAAGTGGGAAGGAAAGAGTAGGGATATGAATGGGAACGTAAACGGAACCAGTTCATGGCTTAAACAGTTTGAGAAGTTGGGGTTTTATTTTTCTTTTCTTTTCTGGAGGAAGAGACCAAGAGTAGATATACTAACCCAGTTGGGGAGCTGGCTCTGCACAAGATCGTCGGGATGAAGGGGGTGAGGAGACGCAGGGGGACCTGGTAGGAGCTGATGTAATAAAGAGCCTGGGTGAAAACGGCAGTGGTGGCTATGACGGTGACGGCTACCAGTGCTGAGGCCGAGCAGCTGCTGCACTCTTACCGTGTTCCAGGCACATGCACGCGACAGCTCGCGGAACGCGCCACTGGGATTACTCTTCCTGAGCCTCTCTTTACATTTGGAGGACATGCAACCCAAGAGTTTTAAATAACTTGTTCATGATCAGGAACTGTTCTAACCTAGAGGCTCCTTCTAAAAGACCCCCGATCTTCCATATAAAGAGGGTTGAAATGGTAGCCTTTCTGCAGGCTTCCCACTTCACAAGTTAACTTGATCTCCTGGGTTTGCTAACTTTGGCTGAACTGGAGTATGTTTGTGTTATTTTATTTTGTAACCTAAGGGGATAAATCCAAAGAAGACAGGACAGCAGCTAGTGAAGCAGTCATGTTGACCTTCACCAATTTACAAAGCCATTCTCTGTCCTTAGCAACCGTGCTCTTTGCTGTGTGACTTGTGGGGTCTCCGGAGATAAGTTTCAGAGCTGCACATCAATGATCACCTGGGAAGTTTTCTTATTTGAAATTGCCTAATTAATTAGTCCCTCTGAAACTTGTTGAGGAGTGAGGAAGATCGCTTATTTTTGGGAACTGGTGGTCTCTGAACACTCAATTAGCCCTAATGGTACCCTGGGCACCTTGTTAGAAAGAAGATCTATAGCAACTATTGGGCCTTGGGGTCTTAGCCTCACACTGGAGTGGATACTTTGACCTACCAACTTGCCATGATGTCTGAAGAGTTAAGTACCGTTTGCTGGGCTCCAGACTCATTTTTGAGTCAAAGGAGTGCTAGAACAGAAAGTTACCCAGATGTGATTGAGGCTGAACCCCTTTGTTAAGTGAGGGAGCTACAGACAAGGAAAGGGGGATTGATCGGTTCAGGTTCTCACAGTTAGAAGCAAACTGGCTTAGAACCGGCCCTGCTAATTAGGGCAATGATTTCTTATAGAGTGATGTGATACTGCCTCAAAGAGAAAGGAAGGCAAGGTAACAAAAGGGGGGAAAATGAAGGAAGGAAAGAAAGCTCAAGTAACTGTCATGCTGAACAGGAAAAACATTCACCCTTTTACGGTTAACTCATGATTCTTCCCAAAAGAAGTGCCACTGTAAAAGAAGGAAAATAAAACAATTGTGTTCTTGTGAAGTTTTTCAAGTCTCTGGTAGGGTAATGAAGAGACTCTTTTTTTTGAAGTGGGAGCCAGTACTTTCTGGCAATTCTGGATGAAGCCAGTAAGGAACACAAATACCTCTGATCACACAGCTTGCTCTCCTCTTTTCTCTGCTTTCTCCTTTTCATTAGCTAAATTTATTTTTAAATTTCCCTAGACCTTTCCTCCGAGAAATACTGAATATAAACTAAGTATTAGCTATTCAAATATGTACTGTTCCATATGATCTTGCACACGCAACTGCATACAAAGTAAACATTGGTTATGCATGTATTTATGTACATAATTATATTTTATTTGTTATATGTGAAAACTCTGTGTGCACCTTCATGAACCATACAGTAAACTGTAGGGAACCCATTGATCTCTCGTTGTACCCCGGGGAGGAATGGCGGTGTCTATGAGGAAAATAAAGACAAGAGACGAGAGCTGGGTCTGGTGGAGGTGACCTCTTACCTGACGGGAAAGAGGACCTCACATCAACAGTAGGGGCATGTATTTATACTCTTGCAAAGTTAGCATCATGAGAGGCAAGGTTGCCTAGTGCCTAACGACTGAAACTGTCCAGGCAGGATGTTTTTCTCAAGAGCCAGGTAGGTTGACTGCTTGAGGCACTCTGGCTCTGTCCTGCCCTCACACATACGACCAACCTCCGACTGCAGCTGCTCCCAACAGCAAACACTTTATTTAAGTTAGAGGGAGGTTCTGAAATGAGGAAACGCAGAGTTTAAATAATTAGATACAGTGCTGAGATTAAAATGTGAGGATACCAGCTCCTTGTTGAATGTTCAGAGTGAAGTATTTTCTCCCATTCTCTGTGTTGCTTCCTTTGCTGTGCAGAAGCCATTAGGTTCTGTCTTTTCATTGGTCCATTTCAGTTTTTGTTGCTTATGCTTTTGAGGCAGTAACTAAAAAAATTCCTTGTCCATGTCAATGACACAAAGCATTTCTGTTTCACGTTCTAGTAGTTTCATAATTTTGAGACTTGGAGTTAGATCTTTAATTCATCTTAAGTTGAATTTTGTATATAGTGAAAGATAATGTTCTCAATTCATTCTTCTCCATTTGAGCTCCACAATGTGTGTTCTTGGAAACCAGGGGCTGTGTTTATTTCTGGGCTCTCTATTTTTTCCCCACTGATCTATATGTCTATTTTTTATGCCAATGCCATACTACTTTGGTTACTATAGCTTTCTAGTATATTCCAAACTGAGGTAGTGTGATATATCCTGCTTTGGTCTTTCTGGTCAAGACTGTTTTGTCTAACATATCTTTTATCATTTTATACAAATTTCAGGGGTTTTCTTATATTTCTGTGAAGCATGTCATTGGTAATTTAATAGGGATTGAATTACATCTGTAGATTTCTTTGAGTAACACAGACATTTTAACAATATTAATTCTTCCACTACATTATTAGTTACTTTCATCTTCTTCAGTTTATTTTATTAATATTTTACACTTTACATTATAAAGCTCTTTCACCTCCTTGGATTAATTTATTTCTAGTACGTGTTTATTTTTTGAAGCTACTGTAAGTGTATTATTTTCTTGATTTCCCATTCAATTGGTTTGCTATTTTATGTTTAGAAATGCTACCAATTTTTAAATGTTGATTTTGTATCCTGAAACTTCACTGAATTTATTGATTAGCTCTGTGTTTTGGGGTGGATTTAGAATTTTCCCTGTGGAAGATCATCTAATCTACAAATAGGAGCAATTAAATTCCTCTTTTCCAGTTTAGGTAACTTTTCCTCTTTTCTCTTGCTTGTTTTCTCTGGTTAGGATTCCAGCGCTTGCCGAATAGAAGTACTGAAATTGGCTGTGCTTGCACAAGGAACACAAACAACTCAGCAGGAAAGAAACAAAGAAAGAAACAAACACCAAAAAGCAAATACATAGCCTGGTTCAAAAAATGGGGAAAAGTACTAAGTAGACATTTCTGCAAGACGTACAAATTGCCCTCAAGTATGTGAAAGAATTCTCAGTATCACTAAACATCAATGGAATGCAAATTATAATCAGGAAAGATGTTACCTTATTCTAGTTGGGATAACTATTATCAAAATGAGGATACAAAACAAAGCTGGCAAAAATGTGCCAAAAAGAGAACCTCTTACTCATGTCAGTGTGGATGTAAGTTGGTGTTTCCAGACAGGATATGCTCACGGGTTTAAAAATCAGAGCTGGGGATGTCCCATAGTGCTAGAGCACTTGATTAGCTTGTGTGAGGCCCTGGGTTTGATATCCAAAACTGCAAAATAAAATAATAAGACAAAATAAATAAGATAGATAAAAGGAAGTAGAACTACCGTATAATCTAGCGAGACACGTGTAGATATATATCCAAAAACAGTGAAAGCAGTATGTTGGAAAGAATTCTGCACCGTTGCTTGTTGCAGCATTGTTTCCGATAATCAAGACATAGAATCAGTTTAAGGGTCTATCAGAGGTGAAGGGCTACACAAAATGTAGTGGAGGTACACAATGGAATACTATTCAGCCGTAAAAAGAATGAAATCCTGACACTCACAGCCACATGGATGAACCTGGAGGAATTGTATTCAGGGAAATCATCGAGGTGTGAAAAAGTGAAGACTGCAAGATCGTGCTCATATTGAGACCTAGAATGTCATTCTCCTGCATGGAGAGATCAGACGGTGTCATCAGAGGCTGGGGTGGGGAAGGAGATGAGGGCATGCAGGTTGAATTATACACAGTTACAGTCAGGTGGCAGCAACTACTTCAAGAGCTGTCTTGTACAACACAATGAGTGTGTCATAGTGATAAGAAATGTAAGTAGATTGTCTGCTACATGCTGTTACCACAAAAGTGATAACTTTCTGAGGTGATACATCTACTAATTCACTAGATTCAATCATTCCATATAAATAGATTTAAAAAATCTTGCTGTGTCCTAACATGAAATGTTATCTATGTTTAAAAAATAAAATAAAAATCACTTAAAAATTAAAATGTAAGGATTGCATAAATGAATGAGAAAATTCATTTTCCTTCTTGTACTACTCATATGAATACAAATAATTTGCTGCCTCTATTTGGCAATGCTTATCCTATGTACTGCTTGGCGTTATGCTTTTGTATTGAAAAATATTATATTTTCATAATACAGGTCCCCATTATGTAAGCAAGTAAATTGTCAGAACTAGGAAATCATCACAGCCAAGAGCTCTAGCTTCTCTGTGTAACAGCGAGCATCACGAGATCTTGTGTTTACTTCTACAGAATATTTACTTATTAGAAGGATTTTACATTGAAAAGTTTCTAATATGTCACTAAGGCAAATGAAAGAAAATGTATATGTAGTTCAGCAACTTCTTTCTCTTAGTTCAAAAATACTTTGTACCATGGAGATGATATATGTATTGATTAATTAAGGGCTTAATTATCTAACAGGGTGCACTGATTAAGTGCTGTTCTGCCAGCTGCTCTGCAAGGGGCTCTACATACAGCTCGGGGATACGTACACCAGGGGACAAAATAGCTTTCTTGGGGCTTTCATCCAGAAGTATTACAATAAGTAAAACAATAAGTTTTACAATGGAGTAATCTGCAACACAGAGATTCTTGGTTTCGGGTACTTCAAAGGCTGCAGATCCTATTTTAGAAGCATTTACAGCTTGGTGCAGGATACACTGAAAATCCGATGTTGCTTCCGTTCACCACCAGAGGGCAAGAAATCACCAAGAAAGAACTCTCGTGGCCAGTTGAAGCTGGAACGTGTTCTTTGACTGGCTGCATATAAAAACAATTATTTAAACATAAAAATTAATGTGTAATGTTTATAATAAAATAATACCGACCTGAAAGAGTGAATAAAAAGTAAGAGGTATGATAAATATTGTGAAACGAAAGGAAAGTGCTCAAAAGTAAAG